AACAGCAACAGTTATTTTGAAATTGTCATGAAGTTGTCATCCTTGGGTAAATGTAACTGCTTCTACTATTGTTAGATGCTTTGTTCATGATAGCACTTCAGTTGTTTCTTACCTAAACATGTTATAGTTAGAGAGACAGTTAAATTGCATTTAGGTTTTACTTTTATATTAAAGATAGTCATGCATTATTCATGTTTTGAAATTCATATTTGAAAGGTTTCACAATTTTTTATAAAATAACCAAAGTTCTGACTCGATGCACAAGACTTACATTACTAAATGTGTATAAAAGATCTTGCCAGGGGCTAAGGTATCTCTGCCGTTAATACCATTCTATCACCCAAGGGTTCCCATTGATGTATGTTGACATAAACAATCAAGGTAGAGAACAGGAAAAAGAAAATAAAACAATAAAAACAAACTATAAGTGAAAACGGAAAGACATGAAAATATGCATATGACTCAAAGAAAATACTTTAAGATTATTCAACAAAGAGTTAAAAGGTACTTACGTATTTCTATTTCTTAATTTTAAGCATTTCATTGCACTGTACATTGATAATAATAGCCAGAGTTAGTGATATGGTAGTGAAAATGGAAAATAAAATATAAACATTTACCTTAAAAAAGCTTTTCATATTCCTTTAGGAGGTTTGAGAGATTACCAAATGAAATGTGAAAAACTAAGATAATAAACATTATTTTTATACTCAAAATGAAAATCACCTTGCAGGTGAAATATTCATATCTGAATTTAAAAACTACATTAAATAAGGAATTTTTATTAGAAATAGTGAAAAAAAAAATTCAATATTTTACTTTTCTCAAACTACATACTTTTATGAAAGTTCTTGTTCAGTTTTAAATAATTTTATCCATTGATTTTATTACTGGAATGAAATTTAATGAGAGTTACATAACATGCTTCAAATTAAAGCACATTGTTATTATAGGGTTAAGATTTAACATTACAGGCAAAAGTTAAGACCTACAGTAGCACTTGCAATGTAAATCAGCTAGCTTTAATGGTGAATTCTGCTTTGAGTTATTAGTGTTAATGGATGATGGAACCTTTCGACTGGCATACAAAATGTAATATTAGTTAGAAGAATACTTATTTTAAAGGTTGAAACTAACTAACTGATTCTTCTGTTGACATGAATCAAAATAGATCTACTGGAGCCATTGTGTTAGCCACAGCATGCACTGCATGCCTTTATAGAATACTAAGTATAACAATCACCTGTGTTCAGTGATGTGAGAATGTACCAAAAAAGGCCCTTTTTCAAGAAAGTATTCAATATCACTGAAAATAATTTATAAAACAAATACATTACACCCAATTCTGAAGATAGAAAACCTACAAATTTCAGATATGCACAGCAGATGCATGTGAAATAGATGAAATGAGCCTATGAAAATATATTTAAGCCAGGCATAAATCAGTTGAAAACTTGCTTGCATATCAGATGTAACTTCTACAGAAACCATCCAACTACATATATATCAAAAGCATATATTCTGCTGATATGCAAAAAGATGTAAATATGCATAAACTTCAGTCACTTTACAGTAGGATGAAGAAATAGTCAATTTGTATGCAATTTAAATACCTAAATTATATGTTGACATGCTGTACAGTGACTGCACATATGCACCTACAGGCTGATTATATGCATGTTCAGGTATATCAGTAACATCCTAGTAATTAATATTTGTTTTTGATCGAAGCAACCTGCTCACACAGATAAGACATAAAACTATACATAAAGTAATGAGAATAGTCAACTAAATATCCTGAAACTATGCTACTTATAATCATTAGAATGTATTATTTCATTAGTTTGTTACCCTCACTGTTAACAATGTTTTTGGCCATAAAGCCAGGAATCAGCCAGCCTAGGAAGTTTAGATAAATCATAAAACCATTAATGTTCCTATGTAATTTTTCAAAGTAAAATCAAGGAATTTCAAGCATTTGTCATAACCACACAGATTATAATTGGCAGGACCAAAAAATAATATTGTTACGACAGCGGAAGTCACGTGACGCTGGGAGCATGCGTGCTGGAGTATCTAGAAGGATCATGACTTATCACAGAACCTCGTGAACGTACGAGTGTTTGCCAGGCACCCTCTTTTTTTTAGTATACAAGCCCGGCTAATAAAGCCAGAGATATAGATAGATATGCAGAAAGATTGAAGATGGAGATAATTGAGTCAAGCGAACAGTAGGCACCATAAGTAAAGTGTGTGAATCAC